CACATGTAGTTAAAGCTGGCTAAAGAGGGGGAGTAGTAAGCATACATGAAGTATACGGTAGGAGGAAATGGAATGCCCTTGCCCAGTGAATGATCGTTGTTTGAAAGTATGAAGGCCTTTAATTTCCACGCCTTGCACCGCCAGTCCTAGTTCTCTGTCCCGAGTACTGTAGTTAGAAATCAAAAACGCAAATAGGGCAAAGAAAAGACTCAAATTTTTCAACAGAAAAGGCAAAGTTCCAAAGGACGTCAACGACGGAGGGGGAGGCGGAGGGGGAAGGTGGGAGTCTGACCTAAAGATCCTGTTGACTTAAAGCGGTGAGTTAATGTCGACAGCCCCCTATCCTGAACCAAATATTTTCCCGTCCAGCCCTTCAATCCAAATAATAATTCCCCTCCTGATATACAATCCACTGACTTTTCTCTTTCAATTATTTCTTTTTTTAAAAAAAAAATATTATGGAATGAGATTTAAATGAATTTATCCATTCAGAAACTGTTTCATTAGAAACATTTCATGAAACAAATTACCTTCTGCGTGTTTAGGTTTCTATTCAAGACGGCTGTTTTCAGGTTTACATTTAGTTCTTAGTGGAGAAGGTGATGGAGGTACGTTTGATTATTATTTAGCTTTACTTAGGTGTGTGAGATTGTTACAAATATAGCTGCCATGATTTTCATGAAGTATTAAGAACTATTTATGGACCATCAATCCATCATGTTTGAAAATCCTTTTTGTTTTTAAAAAAGTACTTAAGATATCGATTTCCGGTAGGACTAAGATGAAATGGTTTTAGTAAGTAACAGTTTGCAAGCCGAAACAGATCAAAAATTCCTTTTTTGGATGTGGTAGTCCAGCAATACTTGCATGGCATACTCTGATCAGCTCACTTTATTTCATGTTTTTGTTCCCGTATAGCGTCGTTCTCAGCCATCTCTCGATGAGGAGTCGTGGAGACGACAATACCAGTTGGAAAATGAAGATAATGCCTTGGCCAGGGCGCTGGAGCTTTCGCGATTAGAACATCTGCAACGCACAGAGAAAGTAAGTTAAATATATTGTTAATTTTTTTTTTCTTCACCATTAGTCGCCAGTTTCTTGGATAATGCAGCAGCTTAGTTGAATGATCAACATTTATTATGCGGAAGTCTGAGAGTGGTTTTACTTACTTGCAGAGGGGGCTGCATTATGTTACAGTTTAGACAGAAAAGCGGACAGAATAAATGATTTTATTTTGCTCAAAGTCTGCTTGTAGTTTTGCTTTGTGTATGGGTAAACAAGAGGGTTATTGGATTTGTTGGTAGCTCCTGTCAATGCATGAAGCAGGAATGTCTACTTTGAAGGCGTTACGATACTGGTATAAGCTAGGATGTAGAAGCTGAATCATCGTGATACGTGGTTACAATCCCCAATGTGACATGATTGTTAATGAGTAGGTCGAGTAGGCAGTTACAACACAACTAAATGTGGCACAATTGATTACAGAGGCTCCAAAAATGTGGTAATTTATTGAAGATGGAACTCATGTACATCCTCTGTTACAGGAATCTCGAATGCAACGTGATGAACCGACACGAGGTGAGGAACCATTATCGAAATCATGCTCGTTGTCACCTGCGAATGTACAGAGACAGCAACAAGACAGAGAGGAGACTCAGCTTTTGCGAAACTCTTCTAGAGGTTTGTTAACGTATCCCGCAATAATGGGCTTCTTTGCAGGAAATTGCCTTATGAGTCCTTGTTGGGTCTGTGACGTTGGAACGAATTAGGTACTAGCAGAAGTGTAATAATGTAAACAATCCCTGAATGCCAACGCGCAGAAATGATTGTCCGAGTTCGTACACTAACTATGACAATCATTTCTTGTAAAAAGACAATATAGGAGAACCAAATCACAGGGAAGGAATTAGAAAACATCATGAACTACCCTGATAGAATTTTCTTCATCTTGAGTTTAGAACCATGCGGTCATGCGTACGCCTGTCGGCTTTGGTTGACTTGTACATGTATAGTATTGTCCGATTAACTACGCCTTTGTAGGACAAAAATGACGCGGTTTATCAATTCTGTTTTTATTGGTTCGTTTGTATTATACACGGCCGTTTGGTACAGTGCAACATTTTTTGAAAGTATTTGTGGCATCTTGTCAAAAGGATTGCATCAAAAGTATAACTTAGACGTTGATTTCAATATTCAGAGTCAATCTTTCAGGTCTGAAACTTGGATGGCAAACGATGTGTTTTGGGCTGAAATAGGGTTAAGCCTGGAACTGGGAGTCTGCCCATGTAAAATTCCAAGGAGCACTCCGCCGGCCGCGGGGGAACAACACGTCACTCCTAAGTAGCAGTCTACAATAATACTATGCTTACGCTCGTTGCTATGTCAATTGCAACGACCATTATTATGCTCACGCGCTCTGCATGCTATCAACCTCTGTGACGACAAAAATACCCTGAATTACATCGTGCACGTGCGTACCACTACGTCTTTGAAGTTCAGAAAATATGTGCTAAACAATCACTGGTCTAATAAACAAACAATCGCCGAATATTTATTATTTACCTGTGGAAAAGGGAGACAGCTGATTGCTAACAACTGACAAAATATATACGTTACTTTGCGCAACCTTGTCGATAATTACATAACATTTGCAAGTATTTCTCAGTGTTAGCTTTGACTCATTCATATCTGGATATGTAGTGAAATGATTAAAAACTCATCAAGCAGTGCCACTCATTAAAAAAAAGGTTCACCTAAGGTTGAGGAATGTTCCTCCAAATATATGTTTGGAAACCTTGATTAACCAAGGTAATTATAAGGCTTAACACACGGACAAAATATCTTTGGCTTTGCATCGTCAGGGGCTGTGACTGCAGGTTCAGCAGGTCAAGGGGTAAGAGCCATTCCGCTTTGTCTTCCAAACAACTGCAAGTGGGATTCCAAGACATTACAATGCGTCCGAACTGGAGAGAAACGCTCATCACTTTACGTGGTCGATGAAGCACTTGAAAGGCTGAGGAACGAGAAAGGTATTTATTAAGTCAATGATTGAAAGAAGAAGTTATCTGCTACTACATTGCAAACAGCTAAAGTGCAGTATGGTTACCACAAGCCACTCTTCCTCTCCCACCCCCCGAAAATCCCACTGAAACGGCGTTTTGACAAACGTGCTCCCATTGTTTATTATCAGATTTTCACCGCTATGAGTAGATTAATACCTTGTGGTTCACCTCTTTACGTTTGAATTTGGGGGACCGTGTATCCGCGGTTCAGAGGGTCTGCAAAGTACAACTGCTCAAGTTAATGCCAATTTTTTTGGCCGACTCCAGACTGAGCTACATGTACGTAGACTGGATTGCAACGCAACGTAACAAAAAGTGGGGCAAACTTTATCATTAGCAATCGTCACCTTCCTATTTTTTCCTTTTAAATAGGTCCTGTGTGTGTAGTGTCCGTTGTTGGCCCATACAGAAAGGGAAAGTCCTACATCTTAAGCGAAGCCTTTAACCAACCTGAGGTTTTCCCACTTGGACATGAAATGGTGGCCGAGACCATGGGAATCTGGTTATGGATTGTACCTGAAAAGTATAAGGTGGGCAATTCAAACGTTACATCAGTCCCAAGGAGCTTTTTAGACGTGGTAGCCCATGTTACTTTGCCAAGTCCTGAAGGCTCTTATGGTATTCACTAATTTTCAGGATTCCAGAGGAAATGAATTCACAGTAGTGCTACTGGACTCCGAAGGAATTGATGCCGCAGACAGTGAAAGCCGTGATGATAATCAGATATTTACATTAACCGTCCTTTTGGCTTCGGTGCTCATTTACAACTCTCAAGGTGTCCCGACAAAGCATGATCTCGAGGGACTGGAGTATCCTTTCTACATTGCGAATATAACATATATAGACAACTTCAAATACCACAAGGTTATTATTTTTGGCAGGAGAAACAAGAAGCCGGGAATATATTTTCCCCACTAGCCACTTGGGTACTGAGCGGCTGATCGAGTTTTGTATTCCAAGGTTCTGAATTCCAACGTATACTGCTGCTGCATCCCCGATTCGGGGATTTAGCGATAAACTCACAGATGTCTCGAATAAAAAATGTCCCTTGGGTTTGCTGCCCTCTATCTACTAGCCTCACCACAGTAAGTTGCCATGCAGGCCTTTATCCAGATGGATGTCCAGGCGTCCTGTGGACGGCCACTTTTTAAAGAAAATTGTTTTATTTTTTATATGTTGCCTTATAAATTGTTCATTTAAGCAGACCCTATAGCACATTTTGGACGTCCACGTTTCCAATCCTGGCTAAAAGCCTGTTTCCATGTATCCAGCGTGGTTGCCTCGATGGTGTGGTGGATTTCACTCCCGACTAGTATGAGAGGAGACGCAGGTTCGGTACCTACTCGGGTCACCAAGTTTTTCTTTCATTTCAGAGACGTGCGTCGAAAGCCGCCTGTGATAAGTTGTTTACATTTATCTATCATTATAAGTTCTTTGGTAAAAGCAGTATTGGTTACACAAGTAACCCATATAAAGATCAGTGTTGGTTTTCTTTAACGCTGGCTTAAGTTTTATAGTGAAGTTGTCTCAACGGATCCAGATTCGATCTAACAATGGACGAACCGTTGGTGCAAAAGAAACTGAGTTCTTTCACAAAACATTTCCTTTCTTCATTTGGTTGTTAAGGGATGTGACACAGTTCATTCCGCGTGACTGCAGAGACATCAAAGACTACTTCTTAAAGAAGGTTAGACTCCAAATATCAAATCACGGTATAGCAAGCGATACATTCTTGAAAATCTAGATCTATGAATTGGTTAATAGCCTTGTTAACTACGATTGTTCGAATCAAGGCGCCAAACCTGGTAATATCCGGTTGTTCTTTTTTTTTTATTACTGTAAACCTCGAGTAATGCGTTTCTAACTCTCTGATTGGTTCAATGAGTCTTGGTACGCTACCATCCATTATACCTGTGTATGATTGTATATGGAAAACGA